GCCCCTCCTACACCATGGAAAGTCAAGACGCTGTGCAAAAAGTTCAAGGGAGGCAAAAGGCACCCTGGTTGAGGCTGAGCCGTAGCTAGCTCCTTCTGCCCCCAAGGCAACAACAGAAAATGGTGCCCCCCAACAGACGTGAGCGGTATGTGACGTCATGCGTACGCATGCGCAGAATGCACTGAAGGCTAAATCCAACATAGCATAAAAATTTGTTTAGTTTGACGAAACTAATAAAAACATTTTTAATTTCCGTTCATTTTGTCCGAAACTAATTTTTATTCTTTGCACGTGTCTAGTAATATGTGTGCATGAGTGTGTGTTTTTGTTTTTTTTTATTATTATTTTAATGTTGGGGGGGGCTTCGGGGGAAATATCAGGGGTCTAAGCAGACCCCTGACATTTCCCTTTTGAAATAGAGAAAGAGATTGAGTCCTCTGCCCATACAGGTGGGGGAGAGTAGCGGGGATCCGAGGAGAAGCTCCATATTAGAGTACCCCTTTCACATCAGAGTCCCCCCTTTTATACCAGGATCCCCCTTTCATATCAGAGTCCCCCTTTTACACCAGAGTCCCCCCTTTTATAGCAGGAACCCCCCTTTCATATCAAGAGCCTCTCTTTCACATCAGAGTTCCCCTTTTTCCTCAGGAGCAGGGGCGGACTGGGGTGGGGGGCAGGGTGGCAATTGCCCTCCGGGCCTCTCTGATGCCACCACGAACGGCCCCTTGACCTCCGCTGCCACCTGCACCCGTCAAGGAGGTGCTCGGGAGGCCCCAGCAGGTGGCCCTCTAACATACCGCGTCTACCTGGTACAGCCAGCCCGGATCGCTTTGGTAGGCGATCCGTGCTGGCTGGATCAGGCAGATGCGGCGCTTTAATATGTTAGAGGGCTGCCCTTTTGGAGCGAGAGAAGCTTACACTTGAGGACTCTCTGTGCCCCTGCAAGACAGCAATTGGCTGTCCAGACACCCACCGCTGCAATTTGGGAGGGGGAGGGTGAGTTATATGTTCCCCTATACCACTAAGGGAATCAGAGGAGGGAATGGAAATGAGTATTAGAAGCAGGTGCTAGTGAGTAAGTAAACCTGTTGCTAACCCTACAGGGACACTGTGCTGTCACAACAGCCTGTTATTATTTGATGTTCGAGTGTTTGGTATGTTCACCCGTTTTCTCCCTCCTGTATGCTGTTAGATAGTATGGCCATCAGCTAGAAACTTCCATGCTACTGAATCTGTTTAGTTGTCTGCCTCTGCAGAGCCAGCCTAAGGAATGGCAATGTCTTTTTACTCTTCAAAAGAGTGGAAAAAACTTCCTTGGAATACACTAAACTGAAGTAAAACTGCGCTGGATTTAACTTCCGAGTGTTCTTGAAGAGTTAAACTGCCTGTGGATCTTGTCAAGTCAGCAAGTTGCCATACTGTCTATACAGACTGGGTCTCAGGAGGTATGTCTTTTGCCTATAGTGACGTTTGAGACTATAGGTTGACTTTCTAGTTATCTAGGCCTTCCATTCTTCCTTTGTGAAAAGTTTAACACAATGAAAATCCATTTTCAGATTTTTACATTTCATTTTTCCGCAAATGAATAACTTCAACCAAACTGTAGTGGCAGAATTCGTGCTTATTGGCTTTAAAAGCTTTCATGGCCTCAGATTTGTTCTGTTCACCTGCTTACTTTTAATCTACATTGTCATTTTCTGTGGGAATCTTTTCATGGTCGGTTTGGTGCCGGTGGTCAGCCATCTTCATACGCCCATGTACTTCTTCCTGAGCAATCTCTCCGTCTCCGATGTGCTGATAACATCCGACATTGTACCCAACATGCTACGGATACTGTGGACAGAAAGGGGAAATATCAGTGTCTCCAGCTGTATTCTTCAGTTCTACATATTTGGTTCTCTGACGGCATTGGAGTGCTTACTTCTGACCGTCATGTCTTATGACCGCTACCTCGCCATTTGTAACCCTCTGAGATATTCCTCCATCATGACCTCAGGACTTTGCCGCAATCTCATCATCTTCTCCTGGATAGCCGGTTTTACTCCCACATTCCCAGTGGCAACTTGTCTCTCCAAGTTACGCTTCTGTCACCGGAACACCATTGACCACTTCTTCTGCGATCTGGCTCCCTTCCTGAACTTGGCTTGCTCAGACGTTTCTACCGTCAAATTGTTGGCTTTCTCTTTCTCGTTCCTCGTCACCTTCTTCCCGTTCCTCTTCATCATCGTGTCTTACGTTTCCATCATTCACACCATCCTCAGGATAAAGTCAGAGAAAGGCAGACAGAAGGCCTTCTCGACGTGTAGCTCCCACCTGGCTGTAGTGTCCTTGTACTACGGAACTCTCTTCATTCTGTATGGTGTCCCCTCAAAGCAACAATCTCTAGATACCAACAAGATTTTATCTCTCTTATACACCATCGTAACGCCGTTCCTGAATCCCGTCATCTATTCCTTTAAAAACCAGGAGATTGGGAGAGCGGTTGCAAAAATCCTAAAATGACCCTCATTATTAAAACAATAAATGACCTTTGGCTTGTCCCTCCGATGGCTTAGACTCCATCCACAGGTGTTCAAAGCTGAAATAGAAACAGATTTTTAAAAAAAACCCCATAATTGAATCCAGTTTCATCGTGATTACAACATATCAAATGTACTTACAAATGCCGTCTTCATAAGTATCTGCCTTCTGTCTTGTAAGCCTCCTGTAAAGCAAGACTCCATATGGGAGGTGAAGGGTCGGCACTCTAGGTCTAGCACTTCATTGCTCTGTCAATCTTACACTGTAAACACACTTACTGGATCGGGGAGGGTACTTGGCCAAGCTGCAGTGTTGGAGATCAGGGACCTGGCTGTGCTGCTTAGTGGGTGTACCTGGGTCACAAGACTGGCTGAGCAAATTATAAATATTTTAGCAGGTAAGCCTGTGGGTCATGCTTTTTGTGAAGTGGTTTGGTACATATTTAATTTTTTTATTGATTCATTAATTTTATTTCATTTTAAAATTAATTAATTAATTAATTTTAAATTAATTAAAGGCCTACAGACGTCAGGTGGTCATAATAATCTCAGTGTAGACTCTATACAACAAAAGCAGAGCATGTGACTCTTATCCCTTATCGTATGGCCTAGTCTGAAGTTTCAGTAATAAAAACCAAACTGCAAAGCAAGCAGCTTCTTATGTGCTGTATCTTTAGCTAACCCAGAGTGCTCTGGGAGTCTTTTCATGTGCAAACATTTTTATTCCAATGGATACAAATTACACTGCGCTGTAAATACACTGAGTGTCCAGAAGAAAAGTCACACACTGGTAAAATTTCATTGGACCGCTTTTAGCTTTGATTGGGGCACACATTTGCCCTGTGCTTAAGCTTATGCAATGTCACAACATTTATTTCCATCCAGAGATTTTCACCAGCTTGTAGTGATGATGGGAGAGTCGGAGCACGGAGTAAAGTCCTCTCCATCACATCCCAAAGGTTCTCAATGGGGTTAAGGTCTGGACTCTGTGGTGGCCAATCCATGTGTGACAACGATGTCTCATGTTCCTTGAACCACTCTTTCACAATCTGAGCCCGATGGATCCTGGCATTGTCATCTTGGAATATGCCCGATGTGCCACCAGAGAAGAAAAGATCCATTGATGGAAAAACCTGATTATTCCGTATATTCAGGTAGACAGCTGACGTTATGTTTTGGGCACATAATGTTGCTGAACCTAGACCTATTATCCGATGGAAGGCTCTGACCTGTTGGCTTAGCTAAATCCAGGTGGTGACTTTTTTTTGGCCAGGCAGTGTATAAACTCATGAATGTATACATAAAATATATACCAATTATAACCAATTCTTGGTGACTCCCCATATTAAAAAGTTTGGCAAAGAAAAATTATAAAATATTTCATAGTGCAAACATGAATTATCAATTAGCAACAGTGAAAATATTTAAAGCCCCGATTTATATTTTAAAAAAAGTGTACACTCATAATGTGCTCCAAAAAAATCTTCAAAGGTTCTTAAGATTCAGTGCCACCCGATCAGTACTCTTTCTAGATTAGGTAAACACACCAGATAAGGCGGACAGCCAATTATAATGGTCAAAAAAGTATACAATATTTACTCAAATGTCTCTTATTATTGCTCCGCAATCCTCAAAGGATCACAATCAGATTCCACATACCAAGGGGTCAATCTTGGAAAATACTCCTTCAGCAGCCACTTCCTCCCATCACATCCTCTTCAATATAAAGGTCTCAGTAAGTTCCGGTTGGACTCTTGCAGGGGTGAATCACTGATGTGTGTAGTTCCTGAGTGCTGTTTGTGCACCTTGAGCCTATTTTATATTTATTCTACACTAATGCCCTGCTATGGGTCAATCTTGGAAAATACTCCTTGAGTGGCCACTTCCTCCCATCATTTCCTCTTCAATATAAAGGTCTCAGTAGGTTCTGGTTGGACTCTTGCAGGGGTAAATCGCTCATCTGTGTAGTTCCTGAGTGCTATTTGTGCACCTTGAGCAATGTGAGCCTATTTTATATTTATTCTACACTAATGCCCTGCTATGGGTCAATCTTGGAAAATAGTCCTTCAGCAGCCACTTCCTCCCATCTCATCCTCTTCAATATAAAGGTCTCAGTAAGTTCCGATTGGACTCTTGCAGGGGTAAATCACTGATGTGTGTAGTTCCTGAGTGCTGTTTGAGCACCTTGAGCAATGTGAGCCTATTTTATATTTATTCTACACTAATGCCCTGCTATGGGTCAATCTTGGAAAATAGTCCTTCAGCAGCCACTTCCTCCCATCTCATCCTCTTCAATATAAAGGTCTCAGTAAGTTCCGATTGGACTCTTGCAGGGGTAAATCACTGATGTGTGTAGTTCCTGAGTGCTGTTTGAGCACCTTGAGCAATGTGAGCCTATTTTATATTTATTCTACACTAATGCCCTGCTATGGGTCAATCTTGGAAAATACTCCTTGAGTGGCCACTTCCTCCCATCACATCCTCTTCAATATAAAGGTCTCAGTAAGTTCTGGTTGGACTCTTGCAGGGGTGAATCACTGATGTGTGCAGTTCCTGAGTGCTGTTTGAGCACCTTGAGCAATCTGAATCTATTTTATATTTATTCTACACTAACGCCCTGCTATGGGTCAATCTTGGAAAATACTCATTCAGCAGCCACTTCCTCCCATCACTTCCTCTTCAATATAAAGGTCTCAGTAAGTTCCGGTTGGACTCTTGCAGGGGTGAATCACTGATGTGTGTAGTTCCTGAGTGCTGTTTGTGCACCTTGAGCCTATTTTATATTTATTCTACACTAATGCCCTGCTATGGGTCAATCTTGGAAAATACTCTCCCATAGTGTAAAATGTAGTAGATAAAGAAATATAAAATAGATTCCCATTGCTCAAGGTGCTCAAACAGCGCTCAGGAACTGCGCCGCATCAGTAATTCACCTCTGAAAGAGTCCCACCAGAGGTGTGATGGGAGGAACTGGACAGTTAAGGAGTATCTTTTCAAGACTGACCCCTTTGCATGTGGAGTCTGATTGTAATCCATTGAGGAGAGGAGTGGAGGGGGAATAATAATAGATATTTGAGGGGATCTTGTACGTGTTGCTGAGGATTAATTATAAGTGGTGTATGTTTTATGTATTTATTTATTTATGAGTTTATATTTACAGCGCAATGCAATTTTTATTTATTTTATTTTCTCGGGTTAAATATTTCATTTTTTTGCACAGCTGCTCACTTTAGATTTGCGATGAGCGCAGCTCTCTGTATAGTTATTTAAAAGGGTTAATTTGCAAAACAAAGAATTTATATACAAAAGTAAAAAAAAAGGTTAAACAACAGCTTAATAAGCAATACGCTAAAATGACCCAGAACCATTATGCAGTACATCAGTTTCCCTTACAATTATGACTGTCACACGCCTGGACAAAAGTAATTATGAAGGCAATTACTTTTATTGGCTAACTGAATATAAAGGCATTCCCCGAGTTACAAACATCCGACTTAAGGTGGCCATACACTTTACAACCATCGCAAGACCTTAGTCTTGCGATGGTTGTAAAGTAATCAAAAAAACGTACGATCTGCCCATCTTGGACAGGCAGATCGCACTCTCGATCATCGCAAGCCCGCCCCCTTGAGGGGCGGGCTTCCGATGACCGCAATGCTGAACGTGCAGTGTGCGCGTGCGCACACCGGCCCGTTCGGCATTTGTCTCCCGAGCACCGTTCAAAGCAGCCGAAAATCGTATGATTTTCGGCTGGTTTTCTAGCGTGCTCCTCAGACAAAAGACGTGCAACCGTACAGTAGAAACGGTCGCACGTCTTCGTTCACACTGCTCGAATCGAGCAGTGTATGGGCACCTTTACATACGACTCCTTCTTACAAACGGAGGCTATTACTGTACAGTAGGGGGGTCCCAAGCTGCAGCCAAAGTGTATTGCGCAGCGTTCCAGTAGTTGTAATGCTAGCGCGCTCGTGCCGGCAAGGAATGCCCGCCTTTCGGGTCTGGTTCGTAGTACTGTACATACATTTAAGGAAGTTGGCTCTTGTTAGACGTGCAGACGAGGGGGTGCCCGCCTCTTCTTCCCCGGTCTGGTACTGTACATTACAGGAAGTTGTACAAGTTGCATTTAAAGAAAAAATTCCATGCATATTTTTTTGTTTTAAATTTTAGGTTAGTATGGTGTGGGGTTAGAGCCACTGTGAGGTTTTTACTGCTGTGTGTATCCCCATTAGAAAGATTTAGGGGTTTATTCACTAAAGGGTGGAGAGTTTGGAGGAGGCAGGAGAAGTGAACAATCTAGGATAACATCGCTGATTTAGAAAAATTCTCCAATTCAGCTCACTTTACAGTTCAGCTATGTTGTCCTAGATTGTTCACTTCTCCTGCCTCCACCAAACTCCTCACCCTTTAATAAATAACCCCCTTCATCTCACTTCCTGTCCTTCAGACAACAGGAAGTGAGAGGAAATCTACCCCTTGGAAGGGAAATTCACTCCTGTAAGAGTTATCACGGGGAAAAAGTGTGTCTCCATTGAAGCTTTATCACCAATCCTTGTTTCCACGACAACCCAAAATTTTCAAAATCCAATTGTCACAGGGACAGAAAGGGAGGTGAAATCTTCTGAAGAGGGGCACACACAGCAACACAGACTTTACAGGGGGTTAACCCTTCCCGGTGCTATCCAAAACTTTAAAAAAATATGGGGAGAACAAGCCTAGGGAAAAATGAAATAATGGGGCATTGAAAATATGACCAAGGATATAGATAAGACCTCGGATTAGATATCTCAGATATTAAGGTAGAGTATGACCTGTATGAGTGGTGAAGTAGTAAGGAGTATGAATGCCTATTGGAGGAGTGGGAGAAAAAGGACAAGAAGGTAAGGAAAGGGAAAAGAGGTGAGTGCACATAGGGGGAAGTTGAATGGATAAATAGAGGAGGTAAATTTAGGATTGCACATGACACTGATTTGAAGGCAATAAACA